AATCAAATAGAAAAGAACGTGCCTAAGGAATTGAAGAAACAAAACCAATTTTAATCCGTCACTTGTTAGAATGTAACGCTTTATTTAAAAGTAGAGACAATAAAATCATTTCAAATTTTTAAAAAACCATATATCCTACTTAAGACTTTCCAGTTAACTTTGCCTTTTCATACAAACTACTAAATAGTAGTATAAAGTAAAATGTTAAAAATAATTCGATGACATGCCTAAAGTAGTGTGCAAATCATCACCAATTGTTTTTATCATTAAAGTTAAAGAGTGTAAATTAAATGATGTTGTTGGTCATACATTTGGTTTTCATGTGCGCGAACAATCTGTAACTTTTCATTGTGTTACTGAGAAACAAAACACGTTTGACAACATTTAATATTTGATATCTTTGACATTTTTATCGTATGGAAAAGAATATCCAGTATAAAATCTTCGTAGCATAGATTTAGATGTTAGTAAGGAATACATTTTATTTTAGTGAAAATCATAGTGTGACTACTTAACACAAAAATGGCGCCGTTCTGTTTCAGTAAAACAGCGACATATCAGCCAACAAAATTGTCTTTTCGATTATATACACATCTAGTGCTGTAAAATCGTATTTAAAGCTATTTTTCACTTAAAGTGGTCGATAATGAAATGGAGAACTATTGTGTCACTGACAGCGGTACCAGAAGTTACACAGAATTTTAAGTTATATCATGATCAAAGGATAATAATAATAATAGTTATAATGAAGAAGAAAAAACTTATGAAAAAGATATTCGAAAGAATATCCACCTGACGATTATAAACGAAGATAACTGAATCAACAAACACGTGAAAAAAAACTTGAAGATAAGATATAGAACAGATTAGTAAAAGATGACTATCCATTCGAAGAAAGGTTATGTCTTTGAAAATAATCAACAAAATAAGAAGGGGTGGTAAGATCATATTAAAATAAGCGATTGGATTTACCACTTCTGAACAAAAAAACTAAGCGTGAACTGATGAATCACTAATGCTCCTACTATGCATAAGTCTCTTATCCAGCTTCCCTCCGATTTAGTTAGTTTTACTTTGCGAATAATTTTGATTGAGGTTTCTGTGAAGACAAGCGACCGGAATTGACTAGATGTTCAGCAATCGAGCTGCTGATTGATTTATATTCACCTTTCTATATCCATACTGGACAGTGATCGTAGATGTGTTTGGAAAGAGCAAACTTGGTGCTTTCAATATAAAAAACTAAGCAAGAGCAAGTAAACCGTAGATATGCGTTGTTTTAGCTCAAAGCGGCAGTTCGTACTTTACTCGAACTTGCATTAGTCAACTTTGGAAAACACAATATTTAACTCAGATAAATAAAAAGGTTCTCTATTTCTCACTGAATCTATTCAGAAGTTATAAATTTCTTTCTGAGAAACTCAAATTTCATATTCAGTATCTCAAATGAAAACAGCTAGATGTTTATCAGTCTTTATAATCTGTTTTCAACATTTATACCTTACATTATTTAGTGTGACTATCATGGAGACAAGTATATTTAGTTAGTTCCCTTCGATTTCTTTCCTTTTATCATATACTGAAATGCATTTAAGTCATAATGATTGGACGTCATTTTCTTATGCATAAGATATATTTTGTAAAAAAGACCACCGTTGTATAATACGTATTACACACACTGCATTATTATAGTTGTTTATAGTTTCATCCCTGAATTAGAATTAAAACTAGTATAAATAAAACAACCAAGTCATTATTAAGTTGGTTTACAGTTTAAGAAAATTTCTCGGATGAATGGAAGTCAAATTTACGAGTATATTTAATACTATAAATTACTCAAAGTATATGAAAGTAAATTGTTTCGTTACAATTTTAAAGTATGGAAATTATTATTTCCCCTCTTTTCTTAGAGAACTCACTTCTTAGAAACAGTGAATGTTTCGTCTATTTTACATACTTTTGGAGAGCATTAATTCAAACAAAATTTGTCAGAAAGATTGATTGTTAAATTGCCTAGATAACTTTTTAATTTTTTTGATTACTTTTCCGTTCAGCACAAATATAATTACTTTATAACAGTTTCTGAAAAAGGTGAACGAACGATTTAGGATAGTGGATCTTTGACTTTGTGAGAAACTCAAAAGATCACATTAAATGGAGTGTATCTGATTAGAAGCTAAGTAGAAATTGTCTATACTAAATTCCTAAGGTGCTCAAAATTGATAAGTATAACGGTTGTGCAATCACAGGGTAAAATGATGTAATTTGAAATTTAAACTATTATAAGCACATCTGAAACGTCAGTTTTCTAGTTGATACACTTTGGGTGCTTCAGTACATAATCAAGGTTCCTCAGGTTTACTTGTTCTGCATAACCTAATCAATACAGAAAAGTTATTTATTGACTACAATTTATGTGAATGATATCATCTCACCACTAAAGAGTTTCAATGTTACAGTCATCGACTGATCATCCGTAAATGTCATTTTGTTAACTCTATCAGTGCGATTATTGCCAATGTAGTCATTATTATGAAATTATTTTGAAGCTTAAAATGTCTCTTCAAGTAAAATAAACTCAAGTTATATGGACGAGCTTTTTCATATCTAAGCTACTTTGATTTAAAAACCACCTATCCTATTACGGGCTCTGATCTGTTTATTATCCATTTTGAAAGTATATATTTATCTTATTTTTTTCTGGTTTTCTGAAGTTAACTATTTATTTATATAACATATTTACCAACTAGCTAAAAGGTCGTTTGTGGTTGTCCACCAAAGTGTAGTCTCGAATTCGAGAAATTACAGTACATACAGAATTTCTTTAAGAATAAGAGTAAGGACCAAATATGTTTATTTTGTAAATCATCTGTAATGAAATACTTTAAAGTGTTTAGAAAATCAACGAAAACAACTATACAAATACACGAAATCATAGAAAAAAGAGTTAAAACAATATTACATTATTATAGATCTGTACAATTGTGCATTTAAGTAGTTTCTACAATACCTTTCATAAGATATGCTTAAATAATGCAGTTTTTACAAAGTAAATAAATGTAAATCAATGTAAATTGTAGTAGGATTTAATCAGTAACTGTTGGATGACATTCAAACAAATCTCATTAGTATAAATGATTGAGAATAATAGAATATAATAATTAAATACAAAATTTAGAACTTTGATATGTTAAGGATGTTAGATCCCCAGAACTCACTTGGAAAAGGTCCTAATTTTACAATTTTATTCTGTAAATTTGAATTCTATGTTCTCGTGTCAAGAGACGCTTATTTGACCTACAGTTTACATTTCCCACTCAGAAATCCTTGACTGTCATTGGTTGACGGATATTTTTAATACTCTATATTGTGGCTCTCCCAAGGGCATTTCTGTCATTGTATAAATAAGCTTGATTGTGTGCTTAGTAACCTCGTATTTCCTGGCTGCTTGTAGAATACATTCTCCACGCCTTAGCAAGACTTCTTAATCTAGTTAGCAAGGCCAAGGACAACGGATTAGAATAGCCTATCGTGTCACTGAATTTGTGACATTCGTTACGTTTACCGAGTAAAGTCAACTCGTAATAGCATTCAAGTAGATCAGAATATCATTTATAGATGATGACTATGGAAACAAAAACTTTAGAAAAAAGTATTTCTGTCCATATCCATTTGATAGTAAGTCGGAAAAATTCAATTCATATTCCTATCATTTATAATGACATCAATTTGTCTGTTTTAGAAATACCATGCCATGCGTGAATACTTACCATGTACTTCTTTACAATCCATGTTTTCTCATCAGTTTAATAATTCATTTATGATCTTTGTTTATTTTAACTAAATATCAACTATATTCACTTGGTGTTGTTTACTTGTCGTTTAATTCCCATTGTTCTTCAGAACTGCAATTAATCAGTCTCTAAATTCCATAAATTCCATTCGTCGCAAATAAATATCACTAGCAAACAAACAAGCACCCCATGCCTTTCTTTTATTTCACAATAGACAATTCTAAACCATATTTCATTAATAAGCTTAGCTAGTAAACACTATTTTAATGCTTTTATATAAATTTAATAATTTCTTTTTATAATTTAATAAAATAACTAGTTTATCAAAGAATATTTCCTTTTTTCGTACAAATTCATATGTACTACTTAAATAAGTTACTAATAGGAAATTCATTATTATCATTTTTTTAAATGAATAAAAACAATCCAAACACTTTATTGTATTCTGTTCTATTCAATACAAATGGATAAGAATGTGTAGGTTGACTAATATATTAGATTGATTTAAAGAGGAAATTATTCACATATTTGTCAGGAGTTTTATAATAAGCAAATAAAATGCATCAATATATAACCTGGGACAATTTTGGAAAGTACAATTTCAGGACCATTTCAAATGTTTTACATTATATCCAATGTATATTTGTGTATATATGTGTGTTCAACACCCACACTCATAAAGAAATTTTCACATCCCACACATATAAACAAAGAGTTTAAAGAATATTATTATCCAAATGAGGAATTTTTTCAGAAATGTATAAATCTGTGTGGTAACTATAACCAATCACAATTTGTTTAGCCAATATTCATTGGGCTAAGGTATTGGTAATTATGATTTTGTCATTTGGGAAGCATAATAATACTTTTTTTTAAATACTCCATAAATACCTACAGTATTTATTGTAAATGAATCGTTTATCAGATAAATAGACCCAATACTTTCACTCTAAAGGTCATTTTGATAACGAGGGTTATTCAACCATTTTCAAGGTTTTTAAATTCACTTAGTTCGAAACTACATGAAACCGTGGTATTAAAACTGACTACAAAGAATACAAACATATATAATTACTAATAATCAACATCATTTTTTTATTTAAAAGTGATTATACTTATTACTGATTTATTATATATTATATCTTTAATGCGTGATTAAACAAACTTATTCATTATTAATAATGTTGGGTTATGTAACAATTGAAGTACAAGGAGAGAATATGGAAGGTGCAGCACGTCATGCTCAAAGATTAGCTGGAAATTTTCTTGAAGATATGGAAGCAATACAAAAAGCTTCTCGTGAAAGAGATAGACGGGCGATGAGTCATTTTGAAACTAATTCTGTGGTAAGTCTACATTATATTTTGTTAATTTTAATCTTTTGAGCATTATATATTTATTTAAAAGTAGTAATCGGTGTACAAAAATATAAACATTTTTGGAAAAGTAATTATATATATATCACTTCTCAGGGTGTTTACAAAGTTCATGAATAAGAATCGCATAAATTATCATTGAAAACAAATAGTAGTATCAAAATTACAGTTCAATTCAGGTCAAGCTAACGGTGTTGATGATGAGGACTGGAAGTGACGAGTTAACACTCCAGATATTCATCATCTGACAAGATTAAGCAAATAGTCATGTTCACAATAATCGAAAAAAGATCCAAGAGTATTGCAATTTAAAGGATATTTCATATTTTCTGAATTTAGATATGTGGTTCTTTCTTCAAATTATTGACAAATTAATTTAAATGTATTTATCAATAAACTAAACCATTGGGTTAGTTTTTAGGATTGATAGTGTACTAGTTCGAAAAGATTTTCATCAAAGTTTGGTTTGTTTTATTATATAAAACTTTGAAATGTTTAGTAATCTGAATAGATTTGAGTTAAATAACATGGAATCATTTTGTTTCGTCAACTTATTAACGGCTAATAACAATATAATACGTGAAATTATAAGGATAAAGTTACTTTTTATAGAAAACCAAAGTTGACCAACAATTAGTAGAAATACTAATCTGTATTACAATGATATGGTAAATTAACATGAAAACCATTGAAAGACAGATAAGGCAGTTTAAAAATTGTAATGCAGTACCTAAATGAAACTTTTTGATGATTGTTATTACTTCCTTTAATACAATAAAAAATATATTTGAATACCATAAAGTATTTACGTATATTTATGTGAGGCAATTAGTTTGTTTGATAAATTTCGATAGTGTAATAAGAAGACGAAGATTATCAGAAAACAAAATGATGTGAAAACAGTTTGAAACCTCATCAATCTGGATAATAAGCTAAGATTATCAGGGTAGATTTAAGATGAGAACATATGTGCACATGTACCTAAATGGTTGCAGAAATAAATAAAATCAAATGATTCAATAAGAGTAGAGGATAAACATTCATCATTCTATATTGCCAAACACATAATTGAAACAGTTCATAAGATTGATCTTAACTTGACTTTTGTGGTGTTGTACAAAAGTATAAAAGGGCGTATACTATGGTTTATTGATGCCTTAGCCATACGAAAATTCATACCTCCTCTGTGTAATGAAAAACAGCTTGTTTTCACCTTAAACCTACCCTGATAATATTAACTTAATATCCAGTGTAATGGGTTTTTACATTATTTTTCATATTTTCTTTGTTATCTTTGTCTCCTATAACCCCCTCCATTTCGAGTCTAGTTAATCCTTTATTTTTATATGAAAATGTTCTTTACAAGTATATGTGTGATCAGATTGTTCGAATTGTATTGCCCTAATATACCATTACATAGTTCTGATAATCTTCGTCTTCTTATTACACTATGGAAATTTATCAAAGGGACTAATTGTTTTAAATTCCTTAAAAGAAGACTCCCTGTACATACAAAAATTATCATTTTTATTCCATTAGGTGTTCATTTTGTTAGAGTAATATGTTTTATGTGATTCAATGTTCAATTTGTTTCTATTCATAAATAAATAACTAAGGTCAGGTGAAAGTATAGAATTTTTAATTGATGAAAAATATCACATTGAATAGAAAACAGCTTAACTTTAAAAATATGAAAATAGAAAACATTATCTGATAGATTAGGTTGGTAACAAGGGCTTTATAATGTGAACAGAAACATCAAATTACTCAATTACCAAAATGTAAAAGCAAAATAAAATATTCTAATTATTTTAATGTATGAAAATAACTATTCTTAGTGCATAATGTGAAACGTTTTTAATTTCACTTCAACAATATTTGGTTTATAAAGGATTAAGTTTAGTTTTGATTTTCAAAATTCACAATATTTTACTCAGGACAATGTAAACATGTCACATACATTATGATAAGGACTGTAATCATTACTATGTTGTTACTAATCAGTTTTATCGTCATTAAATAGTAGTTTTCTCAAGTAATAATTGCTATATATATATATATATATATATATATATATATATATATATATATATATATATAATGTACACTTAGCAAATGATTTCGTCGAAATGAAGATTATATATATATATATATATATATATATATATATATATATATATATATATAATCTTCATTTCGACGAAATCATTTGCTTAAGTTGTACATTCGTATATATAGTTATGTGGAAAACAAATGTTTATAGAAGGATACAAAAGATTGCATCATAAAATGGATTTGTAGCTAAATAACAAATGAGGTTACATACTAATCAACGGGTAAGGAAGAAAATAGTTTATAGGTCCAATTGTTAGATATGAAGAAATTTCACAGATTGAAATCATGAGTCAATTGAGGCTAGACCACCATGGAAAACCTGGAAGCACTGCACGGCCGTTTTGTCCTAGTATGGGTCCTGGGTTCGAATCTCGCGGGTGCGGGATCGTGGATGCGCGCTGCCGAAGAGTCCCATACTAGGACGAAACGCCCGTCCAGTGCTTCCAGGTTTTCCATGCTGGTCTAGCTTCAATTGACTCATGATTTCAACTATTGAACTTCAATAATAATTAAATAAAAGTGAAAAAAAACACGCAAAGAACCAGAAACATGCCCATTAAGGGGATTAGGGCCAAGGAAGGATGAGAGGTTGAACGAATCGTTTCTGCACACCAAGTTCAGGCTTGAGTTCATGGATTACCAATTCCTCAGCAGTGCATAAAATATTGACTTGACTCCACTTCGATCCAGTTTTTTTTACTCTGTTGATTACTTTAAAAGAAGAACCTTTCGGAGCGATGCGTCCACAATTAATTAAATGCTCCTGTATAAAACTAGTAATTGTTTTACATTCTCCTTTTAAAAGCCAAGCCGGATAATGTTCTGAGATGCGTTTAGACAATGATCACTTTGTGCGGCCTATGTAACGTCCACCACATCAGCAAGTAAATTTATAGATATACATTGATGTGGCCCAAAGCGGAAGTTTATCATTAAATATATATTAAGCACTAAACAGTTTAGGCTTATAATGAGACTAAGCATGACAGTCACTCAATCCCATGTAGTTTTCATCAGATTTTCAGGTGATATCAATACTTGATTAAAACTAGCTTTAAATTTATATCGAATGTGAAATTGGTGAATGCATGATGCATCCAGTACCAAAGCTGAAAACAAGTATATTTTTTATAGAAATACAAGGTTTAGTCGTTAAATGAATAAAGGATTGTGGTTAATAGAGGAATCAAGGTGTTTTGTTCCATCATAATTGGTACTCATCGACTGAATACACGTGTTTCCCATCGTTGAATTTTACATCAATTCTAACCTAGTACTTTTTGCCTTAAACTGACCACGTTATTCATTGAGAATCGTATAGGATTTACATTTGTCAATAAAATTGATCGCGATTCAGTCAGTTATTAACAACATCAGGATAATTCAAAACCTAATCCAATGGTAATATAACGAATATTGTCTTGAGTGAAACAGTTAATAGTATGTAACCTCTACATATATCATACTTCATAAAATAAACGTTTTTCAGGTAAGAATATCGAATTGTTCAATGTTTAGTGGCCCGAAATCTGACTCCAATTAGATCGTATGAATGTTTGTTATCGCCAATCCTCGTAATCGACTTAAATCACGTTAGTCAATAACGGGATTTAAATAAGTCGAATAACGAGAATGGACTTGTGAACACACATATTTTGTATATAAAGCGAACGGAATAGAACAAAGCAAAACGACGAGCAATGGAGATGGCTGGTAAACCAACTCCCATTTAACCAAGCGTTAACCAATAGTTATAGTTACACAAAATTAGGTTACAGACATGTGACGAGTAATGGGATAAGAAGTGTACACACACCTACGCGCTCATATAAAAACAGTCAGGGTTGATAAGCGAATAATTAACATGGTCAAAATGTGACTCAAGTAGAATGAGTAGAATGGGCTGTCCGAAAGCTAGAATAAGGTAATATGGGCTTAACATAATCACCGACACTACAGGTGCACTAAACCTTTGCGTAACTTCATTTAACTTGATTCATTAAAAATCAAACTAGAATTTTATTTCAATCAATAAACCTAAAAAACGAAAGATAAAAATCAAATTTAATCAATTAATGTGGAAATAGAGGTCAATTTACTTTTCAACTAATCAATATAAAAAGTTTATAATTATGTTACTAACTCTTTGTTACCCTAAATCTATCTATTTTACTAATATCCAGTTATAGATTATCATTTTTCTGTTTATTTTAAAGTAACTATATAATAAAAACGTTCTTTGTTGTGTTTTTTTAAAATCAAAAATGAAACCTTGGAACCAACTACACAGAAGAATATAGAATATGGAACAGACTTCGGTAAACACCGATATGGAAATAGGAAATGTCAGTTAAAGATATGTCTATTAACTAGATTTCGGACTGAATATCCTTTGAAAATAGTATTTTCACAAAAACGAAACATTATGTTAAAGCTTTCAGGCTGTAAAAGAATTTTTATATTTCTTTTTGATATAATAAGATTAGTCCCTTATTGGAGGATAACACAGCTTTTTTTATAAATAGTTATGTAACAAATGATTCGAATATGTTTAATTTCTCCAAAACCAATTGTCAAGATCATATGATCTTTAAAATACACAAATTGACTGAAATTCGTTTGGCTCATCTATATATACATTATGTAATGTATTAGATTATTATATATTCAATATTTTACTCACAAATGCGGTGAAGTGAAGTACAAGTATTCCTCTTGACTGGCTATAAATAAGATGAAATACTTAATAACATGATTTCTGTCGAACTTGAATGACATAATTACCTTGAAAGTTTGCTTTAATCTTTCAGATAGAATTTATATCAATTTAAAACTTTTTAACAATTCACTTGATC